TTTCAGTAAAAATCCGGTTGACTGGGAACCTAATAAAAATACAAGGATTTGTAGTGCTCAATTTATAAACAATAAATCAGAGCATCCACTTCATCCATCATATGTACCTTCTATTTTTCTGAAAAAGAAAAATACTAAATGTTCAATGCAATCTTTGCAACGTTTTGAAAGAAAGTTACCAGTGAAAACTGAGAAGACTAGGAAAATAATAATAATACAAGTGACATGAGAATGGAGCAAGACCCAGTCAAAATCAAACTTTTACCGTATGCTATTGCAGATGTTTCGATTTTATTCGGAGTTAATAAATCAGAAACAACTTTGTCTACCTCAAAACGATCACCTTTTAATTTATGTGCATTACCAGCTGTTATTCTCAGGACTCGTTGTTTAAACCATTCATCAGATTTTGACTGATTGATTCGGAAGTTTTACCTTCCCTTTATCCACAAAATTTGTACTTACGGACAAGGTAAATGGAAAGTGCTCCATTGCTTTACTTTGTATTCCAGATATTCCAGGTTTCTCAAGATCTTGTGAAATAGATGGTACCGCTAATGTACTAAATTTGTTAATGTCTTGTAAAATATTTGAAGAAGTGATAGTTTCCTCATTATCGCTATTATTTGCCTAAAATTAATTTCGATGAAGTTTACTAAATAAATAATTACAAATAAAAGAGAGCATTCGAATTTCATTCAGTATCATTTTTGCAAAGTAAAGTAAAACTGCATTTAATTACTAAAATATCAGGTTACATAGGAAATTTATAATAANATCTCACTTTTTTTTCCGACCGATCATTCCATTTAATATGAGGAATATTTCTCTTCTCTAAAACTAATTTAAAAGCCACATCACAAATTATCTTCAGATTCGTACCCATATGCAGCGCCAATGAAGGAGCGCTGAAGCTCTTATCAGATTCGTTGTAACCACTTATACTTTTTGTGGCTGATATGAGTAGTTGAAACGCCTCCGGTTTTAAAACGTCGAATAATCCCTTTATATCTCCATCTATCATCTTCAGTGTTAATAACATCCTCCCCATTTCTCTAATTTTATTAGAAATTGCAGTTGTAATCTGCTGTGTCTTATGTTTACCTAATAGGGCTTCTCCGTACAAACAAATTAACGGATCATTTTTTGCAGCAGCACTTATTTTATCAGGTCGCATAATATCAAAAACTTCTTTTCTTAGTCGTGAAGATTTTAAAAAATCATGATTTCTTGTATTTACAAGTGCCATAAATGTTTGCGATTTGGATAAACAATTTTTTCCTGGTCGTGATTCTTCATTTGGTTTATTCATACACATCTTTACATGTTTGTGTAATAGTGCTTTTNAAGGTCTGAAAATAAATAAAAGGGTGATTTATGACATTTTCAACTGTTTTTTGTTACACTGACTATGTTTAAAAAAACCTGTTGACATGTCCGGGTTCTGGACTCTAAAATCCGGGGTTTTCACGCGTCTTGTCCTGGTTTCCAAATATTAGAGATTTTTTTTTTTTTATGTTTTCGTGGAAGAGGGGAAATCTTCAGAAGACACCCAGCCGTCCGTACGACTGGGTAGTGTCGGATTCCCGAGGAAGAAGTCCTCGGACCTACCGACTAAAACCCTTTACCTCAGGCCGTTTTAGGACCAACTAGGGTCCTCTTCAGCCGAAGCATCTGTTTCGATTCTTAAGCTCGACTTAACTTTCGGTGCAAACCATTTTCGCCTTTTAAGAACTACTTAAAGCTAAGTAGTACTTATTTACGTCGGTGCAAACGGGCATGAGAAACGTTACCCGGACTCCTCTCCATCAAAACCAGCGATTTGTCGTTGGTATGCAGAGTTTAAACGTGGTCGTACGAACACAAACGATGCGGAACGTTCGGGTAAAGTGAAGGTCCGTGAGATTGCAGAAATAACACAGATATCATCTGGAAGCGTACTTACAATTCTTCATGAAAATTTGAGCAATGAAAAGGTTTTTTCCAAGTGGGTGCCGCGATTGCTTTCAGTGGAATAAAAACAGCAACGAGTCGACGATTCAGCGAACTGTTTATCGCTATTTACTCGCAATAAAAAGGATTTCCTGCGTCGATACGTGACCATGGATGAAACATGGATACATCATTTCACTCCGGAGTCGAATCGGCAATCATCTGAGTGGCGCATGGCTGGCATAAGCCGCCCAAATCGTCCAAAAACGCGAGAAGTATTTAAGGACAATTTTCTTTTCTTTCTCACACCACTTTACCCTCCCTTGTTGCTTTGTCGGCCCTAAAATTCACATTTTCGTAAAGACAAATAATTACATCAAATTCACTATTACCTTTAGGTTTTTCTTTCTGCCTTTCCTGATTTACGCACAGAATTATTAGTTCCTTGTCTCGAAATCCTGTTTAATGCTCTCTGTGGTACAGATTCTTCTAAGTCACATTCATCCGATTCAGAACTGTAGTAAACGTCATTACATAAATGAATTTCTCCGTTTTCTTCGTTTGCTTTTCCTTTTTCAAGAAGCATCAAGACTTTAGCCACTTTGGCGGTCTGATAAATATCTTGTGGTAATCTGAAACGAAAACTGTATTAATAACACAATTTCGTATCATGTGGTTGTTTAGTATAAAACTATTAGAGGTGTACTTCAGTCACAATTCGCGACTATAGAGATTTCCATATTAAGGTATTTACTGGTAATTAATATGTGTATTAATAAAAAAATAAGCAGAAAGAATACCTATAAAATTCTGCGTGTGTTTTTTTGGTGTGGCCCATAAAAGTGGCTATTTGCTCAATTTCGGTTTCATCCAAGGACATTAATTGAAGCGTTGTTGCAATGTGCTTTCTAAATCTTGTAGATGTTAAAAGTTCGGGATGTTTCACGTTAGATCTTGTTGCTAATTTTCGTACAACATTTCCACCCGACATCCAACGGTTTTTAGAACCAGGATTGGCAAATAAATATGGATTAGTTTTCGGTACTATATCGTTTTCTTTTCTTATTTTTAATATGAGATTTATATATTTCTGTATTTGTTTTGAAAAAAGAATGGGAACTGGTTTAGAACCTTTGCCTCCCGTAACAACCCTTTTAAAGTTTTTACACATAATTTTTTCAACTTCAGTAAGAGATTCTACGAACTGTTCATGATTCAGATTACCATAGTCTTTCATGTATGTTTCAATTTTCAAGTGCTGAACCTCACCAACACGTTTGCGATTGAACATTAATGTTTGCGTCAGGACAACTTCTGTCAATGTTCTGTAGNGGGAGGCAAAGGTTCTAAACCAGTTCCCATTCTTTTTTCAAAACAAATACAGAAATATATAAATCTCATATTAAAAATAAGAAAAGAAAACGATATAGTACCGAAAACTAATCCATATTTATTTGCCAATCCTGGTTCTGAAAACCGTTGGATGTCGGGTGGAAATGTTGTACGAAAATTAGCAACAAGATCTAACGTGAAACATCCCGAACTTTTAACATCTACAAGATTTAGAAAGCACATTGCAACAACGCTTCAATTAATGTCCTTGGATGAAACCGAAATTGAGCAAATAGCCACTTTTATGGGCCACACCAAAAAAACACACGCAGAATTTTATAGGTATTCTTTCTGCTTATTTTTGTATTAATACACATATTAATTACCAGTAAATACCTTAATATGGAAATCTCTATAGTCGCGAATTGTGACTGAAGTACACCTCTAATAGTTTTATACTAAACAACCACATGATACGAAATTGTGTTATTAATACAGTTTTCGTTTCAGATTACCACAAGATATTTATCAAACCGCCAAAGTGGCTAAAGTCTTGATGCTTCTTGAAAAAGGAAAAGCAAACGAATTTAAAGGAAAAAGTTTGGGAGAAATTCATTTAAGTAATGACGTTTACTACAGTTCTGAATCGGATGAATGTGACTTAGAAGAATCTGTACCACAGAGAGCATTAAACAGGATTTCGAGACAAGGAACTAATAATTCTGTGAGTACTAATAATGAAGAGAGCACACTCGTAAATCAGGAAAGGCAGAAAGAAAAACCTAAAGGTAATAGTGAATTTGATGTAATTATTTGTCTTTACGAAAATGTGAATTTTAGGGCCGACAAAGCAACAGGGGAGGGTAAAGTGGTGTGAGAAAGAAAAGAAAATTGTCCTTAAATACTTCTCTGAACATATTAAGAAAAAAATTCCGCCGAAAAAACAAGAATGCGAAGAATTTCTCAAATACTACAATACTGATTTTCAAAATAAAGACTGGGTGAAGATTAAGACTTATGTATACAATGTGTATAGAAAAGAAATATAACTTTCTTATTATGTAGGACTTTTGTTACATGTAATATCTAATGTTATCTTCAGTTACGTTTTAAAAATGTACCAATAAACTTTTAATACCTAATATCCTACTAGCATTTTAATAAATCAAAATCGAATTTGCAATCGTTGAGCAACATTTTAAATATTTAATTAAATTGAAAGAAGAAAAACGTTGGGTTTTAGTTGCACTAAAGTATTTATTTATTTCGATAATGTTGTTTAGGCCTTTTCATGTCATTCTCAAGAGAGAAATTCTACTGAAATTAAAACCATTCACAATGGTATTTATAATGTTATGGACAGTTTAAAAACAGGTACTAAGAATAACTATCTATTGGGAAAATCCAGTAATAACAGGGGTGAATTAAATGTATACATTTCGACTTGATTTTATTAGCTTTTTATTGTTGTTATTAATGGCTTTCTTAATTTCCACAGAAACGTTTTATTTCTTTAAATTTGTTAGAAACTTTGGAAATTAAGAAAGCCATTAATAACAACCCTAATAATCAAGTAGGAATATATACATTTAATTCACCCTTGTTATTATTTGATTTTCACAATACATATTTATTCTTAGTACCTGTTTTTATACTGTCAAAAACATTATAAATACCATTGTGAACGGTTTTAATTTTAGTAGAATTTCACTCTTGAGAATGACCTGGAAATGTCGAAACAATATTGTCGAAATAAATAAATTCCTTAGTGCAATTAAAATACAGCGTTTTTCTTCTCTCGATTTAATTAAATTTTAAAATCGTTATAATATGATTTACGACTATATTCCGATAATAATGATTATCTAAGTTTTGTATGCGTATGTAGCTTGTGATTAATATCAATATTTCCTGGAAGTCAGTGTAACAACTAAACAAAGCTGTAT